GCTGTAACGGGTGTCGGAGGCGTTTCCCCGGCGGGCAGGGAGCGCCCGGTAACCGCACACAGCGTGGGCTGTGTGGGCAGAGCCGGGCAGGGCCCGTCGGTAGCTGCGGCAGCAACAACAAGCGTGTCGCGGCAGTGGCAAGTGTGTAACACCAACAGCTGTAGTAGTAATAACAACGGGGGGCGGCAGTATCAACACCTGTGTCACAGCAACACCAACCCGGCATCGGCTGAGTGTTCCCACAGCAGAGGCGGTTCTCTGGCACGGATGGGTCACGGATGTGGCATCCCCATGCCACAGCACTTGATGTTTTGCCTGCCGTGGGCCCGAGCGATCGTGGTGTTCCTTAGCCGTAATTCATGGGACACAATGCTTGAGATCATTTGGAGGTACCTCTTGGCTGATGGAGGTTTTAATTCCTGCCCTTTGTGCTGATGAAGGAGGCCAGGCAGCTTCTCCTAAAAACTGTATTCTCTTGTTTTCAGAAATGAGTGACCAGTCATCTCTGCAGGAACTGCAAGTTTCATTTTCACGAGCTGTCTTTCCATTTGCTGTTATCGTGAATGCCAGTTTTAATGGATGTTTCTCACTTTCTTCCCTACTAAGGACAAGACATTAGTCTAGATGTAGTAAATTGGAAGAAATGGAAGAAAGGAAGATCAAGAGGAGGAGCCCCAAATCATCTTCCAGTCACTCTACTCAGGTTGCTAACTCCAAGAAAAGCTCAGTGCCCGTCAGTAAAAGCACAGCCTTTTCCAACCCTGCCCCACAGCCTGCCGTGCAAAAACCAAAGTTAAAACGGTAAGCTTGTGACATTTGGAGACCTAGAGGAAGTGGGAGCCAGAAACTAGGTAATGCTAAGATAGTCTAAAGGTTGTTTAGACTGGCTGTGACAGAAGAGTTTCAGACTTCTGAAAACTTTTGATGATGTGTCTTTTATAACAACGTGATTTGTGTTTAATGCAGTACAATGGCTATTTTACAGCAAAGGAACATGTTTTACACTCTTCTTGTAAGCTTAATGAAATGTCACACAATGCTGTAAACTCATACTGACAGCAGTTTAGCTGAAGCAGAGCATAGCCTGATGTGACTGGTGAAAGATATGAGTTGCGTGGTCAGATTTGGGCATCTTATGGGAGATAGTAGGCCCCCAGTAGGGCCTCACAGCTGTGAGCAACGAATAAAATATTAAATGACTGCAATGTCAGAACTCACAAATACAGCAGGAAATGAAGGACATAAATTGAACAGGATGAGCTAGAACTGGAATTTCCAGGTGTTTTGTGGTTTGGAACCTCTCAGTTGGTGTCTTGAGTAGAGACAATCAGTTCTTCAGAAAGGACCACATCAGAAAACTGTGTTTTGTTGATGACACATCTCTTTCAGTTTGAGAACATTTATTTCCCTGCATGTTAGAAAATATGTTTCTTGGCTGTGGCAGACATAGTAGCATAAATAAATGAAGATGAATTTTAAAATGAAATGTTAGCTGGAGAGAGGCAGCAGAATTTACTGACCTGAGTTTTAGCTGAAGATTAAATACATAACTGTCAGCATCAACACAGAGAGTCTGTTTGAAGGATGCAGTATTGGCCTGATGAATAATGAATTTCTGCAATGTAAAGTCTGTACATTATTTTTCAGGAAAAATGTGTTAATACTTAGAGGGAAATATAAGTAAATACTAACGTGCTATAAATTGGTGGCTTCTGCACCAGTTCTGTTGACTGAACAGTCTGCTCAAGTCTCAGCATTCTCCTGGGATTTACTAGAAATTAATTTCTTGCAAGCCACAAGATTGTCTAGAGAAGGAAGTGGCCTTTTTGCTTTAAGTTCTGGCCATTCTTGCACATTTTTTAAACTTACCAAGCAGTGTTAATACAATTGTTTGAACTTTCCAAGCAGAAGAGGTAATTGACATAATAATGTGAGGATGAACTGCTATTGTGATAATGGAGTAAGAGTATTTTTACTAAGTGAAGTTAATTTTCACTTCATCTGCAAGAATCCAATGAAGCAAGTTTTCAAAGACCAATAGTATATTTTATTAAACATCAGAATCAGGGTGGAAAAAATGGGTGACCTGTCTGTTGTACAAACCATTAAGTCTGAAATTGAAGCAGAACCTAAATAGAGATGTCCTGCTCTGAGTTGAACTGGATATGGTGGTTGTTGGACTGTTGATTGTTTCTGCAGCATATAGTCTATATGATGTGTACAGACTACAAAAGCTCTTGGGCTGGACAAAGAATTATTATTTCCCATAAGAAAGAGAGAATTTATGACTTGTAGGGCTTACTATGCTTTAAACCAAATTATCATCACTAATTAAATAAAGCCTCTTTTTAAAATCCATGATTTATTTTTAATACCCCACAGTATTCTAAATTTTTTAGGCTCAGATTTTTTCACTGGATTGGGTTCTGAACAAATTCATCATAAGGCTGCAGGACAGCCTCCTACCTAAACTGTATTAAGATGCAGCCTGTCTGTCTCAGAGATGGAACATTCTGCTTCTCACTGGTAGCTGTTTAGTTTCCATATTGGTTGTGTGTTCATGGGGATTTATGGTTATTAATTTTCATCCATGTAGTTTCTGTGGGCACTCTGAATAAATGCTATGTCTAGAGAGAAGTGTATGGGATCTAGGAATTTTGATGGTTTTCTTGCAGGAAGGGCTGCAGAAGATTTTTAGCAATTTGATGTTTGGACATGGACTAGTTTAATTTGGTACATTAGAGTAGTGGGAGAGTGGTTTTGATGGTGAGATTTGCAAAACTGGGAGATTATTTGTGGGGTGAAAGAAAGAGCTCTAGGAAAATTTATGTGGAGGTAAGATCACCTTCCATAGCTTATAACCAGCTTTTTTCCACATGGGTTGCAGTCTACATACGTTTGTGACAAGAGGACAGTATGATTTTTGAGGGGGTTTGTCTCTGGCCAGCAGATGCTTTTTAGGTGATTTTATATAGACAATGTTTGCCTGGGGAAGTGGTGGAATCACCATCCTTGGAAATGTTAAAAAAACGTGAGTGTGGCACTTGGGCACGTGGGTTAGTGGTGAACATGGCTGTGCTGGGTTAATGTTCTGTGCTAATGCCCTACGTGTCACTGCTGGGTAATGTTGGCCCACTGTAGATTACTGAGATGGCCATCACAGATGTGTGGTCCACTGATGGTTCCTGCTATTAGCAGGAAAGCAGATTGTTGGAACCCATAATTTTGCAGTATCAAATGTTGAGATAGCGATGTTCTTTATTTTCAAAACAAGCTGGTGGTCCTGTGTTTATCTTAAAAGCAGTGACTGAAACATGCACTGTATATTTACCATTTAATTTTCAAAGCTCAGATGTACACTTCCTTACATTTCAAATTTACAGTGAAATGGAAAGCAGGAAGTAATATTTGTTTTGTTCATTTTTTTTATTTTTTTTTAGGGTGATCAAAGAGAAAGCCAAACCTCCAGGAGGTGAAGCAAAAGGGGCACAGGCAGCACCAATCCAGCATTCTTTTCTCACAGATGTATCAGATGTCCAGGAAATGGAAAGGGGACTTCTGAGTCTCTTGAATGATTTCCACTCTGGCAAACTTCAAGCATTTGGTAAGTGCATGAACTGTGTGTGTACAACACTTGTTTTTTATAGCTGTACAGTGGTAACATTTGCAAACAAATGTGCTGCATGGACAGACTGCCAGCTGTCAGTTGGACTCTGCCACATGAAATCAACATAATTAAAACATCTTAATGCATTTTTAAATTACAGTCCTGTTGTCAGGTTGTCTGTGTTGTGAGATTATTTATATGCCATTTCATTATGCTTTGCAGCACAGAAGCACCTTCACTTAAGATATCAAGTTTAAAGCCACTTACTCATGATAGTGTAGGAAGAAGTAACTGTATTTAGCATCCAGTTTTGTTGCATATGAACATTTAAGATTATTGGTAATGACTTTTATGAAATTCAATGCAACCTGCATTTTACCCAGGTTACTCTTCTGTCAGCTTCTCAGTGTTTTTAAAGCCTTTACAGTTGATGGAGGTTTTAGAAGAAACATTACACATTTTTGGTTTCTTGTCTCCCCTGTACTAAGTAGAAAAATACACGTGTACTTTTTCAAGTTTAGTGTTAAGTCCACACTGATTTCACAAAAGAACCTGAGAAGTTTGTATTATATAAACCATCTGTTTATAAGTAACCCTCAGATAAATCAGAATTGGAAAGAAGGTTTATTTTGATCATATTTTCAGTTAAAAACCAGGGCCTTTCTGAATCAGAGAAAAATTCAAGAGTATAGAAAAAACCCTTGGGACATGGAATAGCCATTGTAAATTCAGCACAATACAACATCTAATGGGATGACAGAAACTTCAACAGTGAAACAGTGAGAAATCATCAAGAAAGCAAATTTACTTGTAAATTTGATGTTTAAATTCTCTGATGCAAAAAGCTGCATCTTCACACCTTCATTTTCTCTCTTGGGTTTCTTCATGTGAAGTTTGTGTTTATCCTTTTAGGAAATGAATGTTCCATTGAGCAGATGGAGCACGTGCGGAGTATGCAGGAGAAACTTGCTCGCCTCAATCTGGAGCTCTATGGGGAGATGGAAGAACTCCCTGAAGACAAAAGAAAACTAGCCAGTGATTCCAACCTGGATAGACTGCTGTCAGATGTAAGTACTGGGAAGGCAGAAATCATGGAACTTGGCCCACAGCAAAGCTCAGTTCAGGAAAACACCGCTCCTGTGTGCAGAGTGATTTACAGTTGAGGAGAATGTAGCTCTTCAGTGACCTAAGATGCACCTTGCCCTCCTCTTGGGTTTGAGAAAGCACAGGAGTTGTTTTAATTTGTTACAGCTGCAGGTTGCTTTGGGGAGAGGAGCATGTCAGCCTGCTTAGGGACAGCCCCATGTACTAGGGAACTACGACCACTTTCCCTGCAGTCCATCCTCCTACATCTGGGGAAGGTGACAAGTAACAAGGAATATAGATCTGAATATTCTACACTTTGTCTCGTGTATTGCCATAAAAACCAGAACTGTTAAAATTTCTTTAAATTTCTTGAGATCAACAGATTTAAACTTAACCTGGAACTTAGCTCATCATATGGAATTCAGTGTAGGTTTGATTTGATTTTTGTAATAAATCATACATTTCAGCCCAAACTATTAGTTATTTCCTTCATTGTTTTAATGTATTTATTTCAGCATACCAGCATAATTGTTGTATTTCTTTGACTAACAGAAGATCCATTTCTCATAATTTCTACATTTATATTGCAGCTAGAAGAACTAAATTCATCTATGTATCCTTTTCCTAAAATGTTTATTTACTAACTGTAGTCAAATTGCAGTGTGTTTCCCTAGTAACTGATGTCTTTACAAGAGTCAAATTGCTTCAGTAATGCCTTTGTGTTGTTTTTTAATTTTGTACAACAAGGAACCAAAGCGCAAATCCAGGTGTTTATTTTGTACGTTCCTCTGAGCACTGCATTATGTCAGGGCTCAGTACCTGGAGTTGTAATTAATTGTGATGCTGTGCTTTCAAATTAGTGCTACAATACAGCATTGACTTTTTAGGTTTTTCTAATACATAAGTGACTGTATCTTAACACATCTAATTACAGGTTATTTTTTAATCCAATGATTTATTTAGCTACCATGTACCACTTGTGTACCACAATGTGCTGTCAGTGGCAAAGCCCATCAACAGCAGGGTCTTGCTTCATGCATATTATTGAGACATTCTGGAACAAACATCCATAGTAATATTTCTTCAACAGTATTCAGAGACATCTGTCCCACTGATAAGTGAATTCTATTATCTTTTAGGCTTTTTTTATAGAACCATATGGGGTCATTTATCACTGACTGTGGAGAGTGAACTGACCTAATTTTTTATTTCTAGGGTCGGATACTTCAGCAGAGCTTAGGTAACAGAACAAATGTGTGCTCTTAGAGAAGATAAAGCTGAATGTCTCAGCTTGTCTTTTACACTGTGCTTTTGCTAAGCCAGGATGACAGTGGAGGAGTGTAGCACACAGTTTACTCTGCAATCTGGTTATTTCTGTTATTACATGCGTTGAATGCATTGAGGAGTTGAGGCTCTAGGTTTTGGGGCTTAAGATCCTGCACTGGTATCTACATTCCCTGCATAGCTGAAGAAAGCTGTTCAAGGCAGACTTCATAAAGAGGATGAATGGAAGGTGATAATAATATGTAATAGTGATAATAATTATCTGCCATTGCACTTGATCCACAAGCTAATGCTGGAGGTATGTAATGCTCAAATCTCATTGAGAAATATTAATCTACTGGTGGGGAACTCTGTTCACCGGAAGAGTTTGTCTGGACTAGTGCATACCCCAGAGTAAGCAGAGTTTCATGTAACACTGCTGTCTTGTTTATGTCATGGATGTGTATGTGAAAGTGTTACTCCTTAATGATTTACTTCAGCCAAAAACTACATTTAGCAGATGCTCAAGATATTCCAAATGGTACTACAGGCTGACAGAGAACATCTTTGTCAATCTGGATTCTCCCAGATTTGCTTTTGTTTTTCCAGACAATGGAATCAAGAAGAGTTGTGACTTTGTGTTGTTTGTTTTTAATTTTACACAACAAAGAATCAAAGTGCAAATCCAGGTGTTTATTTTGCACATTCCTTTGGGCACTGCATTATGTCAGGGCACAGTACCTAGAGTTGTAATTAATTGTGATGCCGTGCTTTCTATTATTGCCTTACTTAACAGAAAAATTGGAGAAACTTGGAAATACATTTCTTCTGCTTAGCATTCATATGGTTGCAAATGGTGTATGTATATAAGTTCATTGGCATTTCTCCAGTTTTTGTGAAGATAGTGATAATGTTGCCTTTCTGATTATTACATAGACAATCTGCTCACTTTAGTGTTTTGTTGATTGGTGATGCCACAGATTAATTTATTGTTAATAAAGTGAAGTTTTAAATACATGATGTTTCATTTGCAGAAGCTGCTATTGGTTTGGCTGTGTTAGGAAGATGAGTTTTAGCACTGTCTGAATGTTTGCAGAGTTTACATTTTTCCATTACTATACATAATAATAAAATGTCACCAGACTAAAACTGGCATGTTAGCAGTCTACATAAATTAAGTATTGTGAAATTCCAAAATTGCGTAGTTACTGTTCAATAAATCCAGGATATTCAATTTTGTAGTTACTCTGATGTTGCTATTAATTGGTATCATCTTTCTATGCACAGTCAGAGGAAAAAAAGTCTGTATTAGTTTAGTGTAAAATCAGGCTGGTTTTAGATCCAAAATTTCTGTCTTGGTCCATCAAACCATGCCTTTGGTTCTAGATTTATTTTATATTCAGATTTTAGGTAACACATTCAGATTCCACACTGATTTTACACTTACTGAACAAGGAGTGGAATCTTTATCCTTCTATGTGAGCGCAAAGCTTTTCATCAGCCCAGAGTGGGCGTGTGGCCAGGGAATAGAAGCTTCCGTTTGTTTGGCATCTTTGGAGGAGCAGCTCCTTCAGCCACAAGATGTAGTTTTGGATTGTGCAGCATGCTGGGGACAGAAGGATCATTTAATCACTGAGTGATTACAGAGTGAGGCTTACAGATTCAGCCTCAACTTCCCTGCCTCACCCATCATGTAAATCTCCATGATTTACAAAGCAGTAGGGATCCCAGTGGTTGTCCCCTCAGGTTGTTCTTGTTCTTTATACAATTTATCTCCTTTGTTGCCAAGATTCTCTAGGAGTTTGCATGCTGGTAAATGTACCTTGGAGTTTCTGCCTGTAGCTGGGTACATACCTGTGAGCTGAAGTCAGCTGAAGAGAACTAGAATACGACAAGCTTCTCACAAAGTGAAGCCAAGGTTGGTGTTTGTTCTCCTCATATACACCTCTGACCAATAATTGAGCAATTATCATTTCTGCACAGAACCTTCTCATGTCAGCACTATGTACTTGTTTCTGAACAAGTAAAAAAATAGTATCTTTTAGCTTTGTGCCTCATACCAGGTGTGGCAAAAAGAGCTGCAGTTACACAAACAAAATTGTATTCTTGCAGCTCATTTGAATGCTGGAGCAGACCTCTGTGCTTACTAGCAGCTTTTGCCAGCAAGTGCAGTGTTTTGCCAGCAAGTGCAGTGTATTACAGCATGGTAATGCACACTTGTCCCAAAGCACACTTTTAATCTCAGAGTTCAAATATTCTGTATTAGAGGCAGATCTTTCCCATTTTTGGGCTCTTGACATCAACCTGCTTAGGCTTACTATTTCAAACACATTTCAAATCACTTACAAATGTGTTGGATGTCTTGATCTCATTTCTGTAGCAATTTATGCAAAGACAGAACATATAATTTCAGATATAGACATAGTAATAAGAACATACCTTTCTCAAGCAGCTGTTTAGAATTATACAAAAATTACCCCCTTTTCCTTCAATTTCTTTAAACCCATGGGCAATTACAACTCACAAAGAATGCATTAATTGTAAATAATTGAGAAATTAAGGAATTATTTTTCCCTTACCTCCTCCTGGATACAACTGTGTCTTTGATACAGTCCATTAATGGCAGGTGTTTATTTACTTCTGGATTCATACAAGAAAATTTTGTAGCAAGACTTTTGAGATACTGAACTCTTTTATGTGGTAATGAACTAATCAGTTCTAGGCTCCTGCAGGAAAAGAAGAAAAATCTACAGTAATGTATTTGTGGAAAGTCTTTTGTAATTATAAAAGTATGTAAGTGGCTGCAGAAAATGAGCTCCTTTTCTGTTGTTTCCTGAAGAGTTGTTTATGGAGATTGAAGTGTATTAAAAGTTTAATATATTTACCGGTGTGAGTTTAGGCCAGTGTTGTTGTTTAAAAACTCACACTGATAAATGGGTTTTGGTGTTTGGAAGAAGGTGCTCTTTGCTGCATCACTGTGGGGAATCTGGGACACAACTTACATTTTCCTCTATACTTCCAGTTCGAGGCAACAACACTGGAATAAACAGAGGGGCTGAGCGTATTAATATATGGCTTAATGCCTGGTGTCACTGCCGAAATTCTGGGGTTTTGACAATGCAATGGCCTATGCAGCACCAGCCTGCTGGCATCAGATGGGATTCATCCTTCTCAGTGAGGGAGGAGAGTCTGCTCAGGAAGGAACAGGGCTCACTGGCAGAGCTTTACAGTAGATGGGATGGGAGATTGGGACAGTACCAGGCTTGTCCCTGGCAAGATGAGGCATGAGTCCTTTGCCACTCCTAGCTGTGCTGGCCACACTGGAGCACACCTGCAGTCCCAGGGACTCATCCGGTAGCAGAAGCCAACAGGAAGACCCAAAGAGAAAACATGTCAAAGAAAATATGGAGTGCTCCTTTGGGAAGGATTCATTCTGCAATGAGACTTAACATTATAGACTTCTGAATCAGCACCAAACTTTGCTGAAATAAAGCTTTACAAAGAGACTTGTGGCACACATCCACAAGAGTTGTACATCTCTCTCCCCTAAGTAAAA